TTGAGATCAGCTAGTCTGACACTGGCACCCCACTCCAGTACTCTTGCCTGGAAAATCCCATGGACAGAGGAGCCTAGTAGGCTGCAGTCCATGGGGTTGCGAAGAGTCAGACACAACTGAGCGACTTCACTTTCACTTTTCACTTTCCTTCATTAGAGAAGGAAATGACAACCCACTCCAGTGTTCTTGCCTGGAGAATCCCAGGGACGGCGGATCCTGGTGGGCTGCCGTGTATGGGGTCGCAAGAGTCGGACATGACTGAAGCGATTTAGCAGCAGCAGCAGCAGCAGTCTGGCACCCCAGTTCCAAACTCCTGTAATTCCTCTCAATAAATTCAATTAGAAGGACATTTTTAAATGGTTAAATAGTATAAGAGACGACATTCTGGTCAAATAGTGATCCTCCCCTTGGTTTTATACATTTTTAACTAACGATTTAAAACATGTTTTCGTTCTATTTGGCACCTAATTGGTACCAAACACATATTTCTAAAATGAATTCACTCCTATAAAAGCTTTTGAATTAGCACACACTGTATTTTAAGGGAAGAAAACTAATGGGAAGTCTCGAGACAGAGGAAGAGATCCTGGCTGGAAATGTGGAATTTAAATTCAAAAATCATGTGTGTTTATGTGAGAGAGAGAATGAAAGAGACAATGAGAGAATGTATTTCATCCACAAGAGTGGATAAAGTCACGGAGGGCAAGAGTGTGCATAGAAAGAGAGGGGACTTCCTTGGTGGCTCAATGAGTGGTAAAGCATCTCCCTGCCAATGCAGGGCACACGGGTTTGACTTCTGGTCTAGGAAGAATCCCACATGCCTTGGAACAACTAAGCTGTGCCCCACAACTTTTGAGCCATGCTCTAGAGCCCAGGAGCTGCAACGATAGAGCTCACGCACCTAGATCCAATGTTCTGCAACAAGAGGAGATACTGCAGTGAGAAGCCTGTACACTAGATGGTAGCCCCCACTCTCTGAGTCTAGAGAAAGCCCACGCAGCAAGGAAGACCCAGGACAGCCATAAATACATAAATAAATAAATAAAATTATTTAAAAAGGCAGAGAGGGCCAAGGTCAGTTCTTGAGTCCTCCAGCCTATTCCTGGGTCTGGTTGAGGAGGAGGAGGAGCTGCTAGCAAGCGTGATGTGGAAGGACACCAGAGACAGGAGGAAAGTGTTTCAAGGAGAGCTTAATTCACTGTGTTGGTTGCTGTTGAGGAAAGTGTCCAGCAAGACGAAGGTTTAGCCTTAGCAGACGTAGGTCACTGGCAACCTCCACAAGATCTGTTTGGACTGGTCAGATTAAAGCCTGATTAGGGTAAGCTATGGAGCTCTGCAGAGGCAGCTAGAGAAAGAGGTGAAACCAAGAGGGCTACTATTTTTATTTTTTAAAGTTTGATTTTTTGTTGTTGTTGTTCATCATGGATTTTTTGGCACCGGTTTTTTATTTTTGTGACAGCTACAATTTTAGATGAGAGATTTTGAGACTTGATAATATCTCAAAGAAAAGTGATTCTCTTTTGATTCTGCACTTGATAAAAGTAACCAATGTAGGCTTCTTAAAATATTTCCATCTTTAATTTCTATGACACGATGCTTAAACTTGTTTTCTTCCTACCTCCACTGGTTCATCCTCCTCTACCACCGAGGGCTTCCATGTATGGTTGTGCAGATTATAAACTACAGGCACTCTGTGGGGCACAATTTCTACAAACTACCATGTGAGTGGTAATCCCGGAGTCATATTGGACACACCCTGAACAATTCTCTGTGCTGACCCTTATTTCTAGCCTCAGAACAGATTTTTATCTGAAGCATGTGGAAACCATATATAAGTATATGTTAGTACTGTGAGTCTAAGGTCAGTAATAGAGTATGGCTAACCAATACTGAAGTTGACTGCGACTGCAACAAAAATAATGTTTATACTTGGGTCATGAGACCCAAGAGAAAATGTTGGATTTCTGAAACATTTCAACCTCAGTTAAAGTCATTGTCAAAAAAAAAAAAAAAAACACCGCTTTTCTCTCTCCCTTTAGCCCTCCTTTCCAAAGCAGCAAACTGAGGGAGAGAGAGCAAATGTCTACACTGAAAGTCAGTTGGCAAGTTGGGGGCAAAACCCTGCAGGATTTTTAGCTGTTCAAAATGTAAGAAGCAATAGTTAAAATCTGCAAGTAGTAGGGAGATAAAGAAAAACTATGTAACTAAATTAACTACAACTTGCCTAAATAAAATAATTGAAAAATAGAATTTTCTTTCTTTTATCATCCTCCAAACTGAATATATGTATCAAAAGAGCATGGTATATGCAATTGATAGATACATCCTTACAGTGTAATACTATTCAGAAAAAGAAAGAATGAGAAATGAGCTATTGATAGACGTTACAACATGGGATGAATCCCGTAAGAATTATCCTGAAAGAATCCAGGTAGAAAAGTTTATGTTGTGTGCTTATATTTATATAAACTTCTAAAAGAGGCAGACTAATCTATAGTGACACAGAACAGATCAGTGGTTGCTCAGAGGGGAGGGGAAAGCAGAAAGAAGGGACCACAGAGCACGCACAGGGAAATTTTTGGGGGATGTTTGTGTTCATATCTTGATTGTGGTCATGGTTTCATGGGTGTCAACGTACGTCAAAACTTATGAAACCACACACTTTAAATATGTGCAGTTTATTTTATGCCAGTTATACCACCAAGCTATAAAAATATCTTAAAAGGATGTTTGGTTTTAGAATGTCTGAAAAGGATTTATGCAGACTTTGATCTAATACCAGAAAGTGAAAGCAGAGTAAGAGGAAGCATTTTGCAGGATCACAGTGAAAATATCACTGGAATGCTAGGAGCGTCACTTTGCACAAGACCAAGCGCCACTTTAAATGCAGACAAATTCTGATTGCATCTCCAATATACCTTTAAAGGAAAATGCGTTTTGCAGATTGCTTCTTAGAAGCAGCACAGCAGTATTAGATCTCCTTCACTGCTGTGACACTTTGAACCAGTTTGGGTTCAGAAGTTCAGTGCTCTCACATATGTAACAGAAATTCATCCCACCTTCATCTTTGACAACGTCTGTGATCAGAGTCCTTCTGAGTTTTGGCTGTCAACTAGCTCATCTCTGATTCAGGTTCACTCTGCATTTCCTGCTGTTTGTGAACACCACCTACAACCACTGCCTTGACCTCATAAACATTGAAGGAGACGGTAGAACAGTAACTAACAAGAACAAGAAGCAGCAGTGTCTGACTGTACCTGTTTATTTGCTTTATCTTGATCTCTTAATACACCTGTATACCTAATTCATCTGTGAAAGAATCATGAATTCTTGTTGACTGACACTGAAGACCTTAATTAACTTGCACATGTTACTGAACAAAAACAAAACAAAAAGGAGAAGCACATGTTCCATGCTTTGAGATCACTGGGTGGATGCAGTCTGTGTGATCTACCATCCCAGGGATTTAAACTGCTCTTGAGCAAACATACTTCATAAATTGAGACCTGGCAGGCACCCAGGAAGTGGTTAAGTTTCGCTGAACTTTGGCGTAACCGGCTCATGATCAGTAGTGTTCTGGGACTAGTTAGCTGGGTGGAGGTGAGCACATCTCAGCAGAATCATTTAGTAGTATTAGCATGATATTTGATAGTAATAACATTATAGTAATCAGGGATTGCTGCTTCCTGATTTGGAGAAGGCACAAATTTTAAAAATGATAGAGCACATTGACTTAGGAAGTTAAAAGCCAAGATGGAAAAACAGCTGTAATTAAAAGTTTCACTGTTGATTGAGATAGAGAATTGACAATTAGGAGAAATAAAAGTGAACTTATTTACAAAACAGAAAAACTCACAGACATAGAGCACGAACTTAAGGTTGCTGGGAGGAAGGATGGGAGAAGGGATAGTTAGGGAGTTTGTGATGGACATGTACATACTGCTATATTTGAAATGGATAACCAACAAGGATCTACTGTCTCTCCCCAAAACCCCTTTCATCCAGGGGAGTTTGAGGAAGAACAGATACATGTATATGTATGGCTGAGACCCTTCACTGTTCTGAAACTATCACAATATTGTTAATTGGCTATACTCCCATAAAACAGAAAAACTTTTTTCAAAAAAAATAAGCTTGGTAGTACAAATATCTACATTAAAGTTTGTTTTTCTTGTTTCGTTTCTTTGGATGGGAGGTGCTATTGGGCTGGGAGGTAGGAGAGAGAAGATACTATATATGCTACAATACTACCTTTTCCTGGACTGTGAATTTAATCATGTATTTGAACAGTTACTATTGCATGTCTATGGAAAATTAAGGCAATTGTAAAATTGCTTGAATTCTGTTGTTGAGTATGTAATTATGAAAGGAAATAAATTAGGATCAAGCATTTTTGTTTCTGGTTTTCTTTTCCTAAGTCATGGAATGAGAAGATCTAGGCATCTGCTACAGATCAGAATCAAAAGAAGTTGAATTTTAATTGTCTTCAACACTTAGAGGCATTTTTCAGGGCAGTTCAGGGGAGAGAAATGAAGACTTAAAATGAAGACAAATAGTACCCTCCAAATCCTGCTTAAGCTATTTAAATTCCTTCAACCTTAAAAAATGCAGAATACACACTTTTTAAAATCCAGGCTTAAAAACTGAAAGTTAATATTAACTTACTTGTTTTCAAGATGATTCTTTTGGTGTTTTAGATAGGGTCAACTTTTCTTGACTTTGTCAAGGAAGCAGATAAACTTTTATATCACCCTTGCCTGTATCCTTAGGCTGTAACTTACCAACTGTAAATTCAGAACAATAGAGCAGAGGTCATGCTAGAAATATACAATGCTAGGACTAGTGAGTTTTGCAAAGTTGTCCAGTGATGACCTTAGAGTATTTTCTAAGATCAATCTTAAAATGGAACAGGCACAGATTATTTATTTTCACAGCAATTGTTGGGATTTGTCTGCTTTTTTAAAATAAAATTGTTTTTGGTTTTTATTTGTCTGTTTCAGGGCTCATGCCTGTTGCACAGCAGCCTGTTTATTGTGCTTCAAAACATGGCATAATTGGATTCACACGCTCGGCAGCGGTGAGAACACAGCCACAATATCTCTCTTTCTCTTTCCGTGCAAATGTGACAGATGAGCTCTATAAAGTAGAGGGGAACAGAGTTAAAATTCAGTACATTTAGGGACTTCCTTGGTGGTCCAGTTTTTGAGATTCCTCACTTCCAATGCAGGGGACATGGGTTCAATCTTTGGTCAAGGAACTAAGATCACACAAGCTGCATGGTATGACCAAAAAAAAAAAGGCAGAAAAAGTAAACAGTGCAGGTAGAGTGCATTGTATGTTTACATTTTTATGAAAAAAAAAAAAAAAAGCCAGAATTTGCTTTAAAATTTTTAGATACATTTAGATTAAAGATAGAAAAATAAATTATACTTCAGAGTTGTTGTTCAGCCACTAAGCCATGTCTGACTCTTTGTGATCCCATGGACTGCAGCATGCCAGACTTCCTCGGCCTTTCGCTATTTCCCAGAGTTTGCTTGAATTAATATCCATTGAGTTGGTGATGCTAGCTAACCACCTCATCCTTATTTATTATTAAAAATAGTTTCCAGGTAACATAAAGGACCAACTATAGAGTAGATTATTTTAACATGAAGTAGATTCTAAACACAGGTTACTGAAAAAATCCTTAAGGATTAAAAAAACAAAAAAGCCTTTATTTTTGAAATTGACTCCAAATTAAAAAATCATTAACTATAGACTTCCTTAAATGCTCCCTGCATTACTAATCCTGAAGATATGGTAAAAATGAGTCAGAGCCTGGAGGATGGAGGAAGGGGTGAGGCTAGCTTTTACCTGGTAGCATTGTCAAGGATTCTGTCTCCATAGAGATCTAGGGTAAATGTGTGCGGAGCTTAGAAAAATATTTTAGCTGTAACTGACCACATGCATTGATAGTATGACGTACCATTTTATAATAACTGAAAAAAAGTACAGCTTAAGTGGAGCCTGATGAACAAGGGTAAAGTAGAATGATGTTTGACCAGAGGTGTAAACAAGAACCAGACCAAAGGCGACTTACGGGTCAAGGTCATGAACTTGGACTTTATTCTAAGTATAGCTGTCATTGGGTCTTTTCTGCACAGGAGTGACAAAATTATATTTCCATGTGAAGAGGACCATTCTTGCTACTATTTAGAGAATGTATGGGAATTCCCTGGTGATCCTGTGGTTATGACTCTGCACTCTCACTGCCAGGGGCGAGGGTTCAGTCCCTGGTCAGGGAACTAAGATCCCACAAGCCGTGTGGTGCTGCCAAAAAACAAAACAAAACAAATGTATGAGAGCGGACATAAGTAGAAGACAAAAGAGCAGTTGGGAGACCTCTGCACTGGTTACTCTGGTTGAGACGGAGAGAGGGGCCTGATGACGAGGAAATCATTAATAGCAAAAACTGATAGGCATAGAGAAAGCAGACGGTGAATGGTAAATGTTCAGTCAAAAAGGAAAATAAGCAGCTGTCACACTCTTAATCGAAACTGATTGGAAATTTTAATTTAACGTGCAAAGTCTTAATCTTTAAATCAACTTTTAATGAACACATAACATTATTACAAAACAAAGTGCATGCATGCGTGCACGCTAAATTATTTCACTGGTGTCAGACTCTTTGCCACTGTAGCCCACCAGGCTCGTCTGTCCATGGGATTCTCCAGACAGGAATACTGGAGTGGGTTGCTATGCCTTCCTGCAGGGGATCTTCCCGACACAGAGGTTAAACCCATGTCTCCTGCAGCTCTTGCATTGCAGGTGGATCCTTTACTGCTGAGCCACAAGGGAAGCAAAGTTAATCAAAGCAAAGACCAGAAATGTTGTATTTACAGTTACAAGATTGGAACTTGTACAATTGATGCTCATTATTTGTTAGTTATGTTCTGTAAAATCACTTGCAAACACTGAATTAGAGGATACTGAACTATTGCTTCTAAGGGAAATTCGGGGTTAAGTTCCTGCAAGCCTCTGGTCACAATGTCCTGTTCAACCAATCCACACACAGCATAGTTTTAAGTATATTTCTATTTAAAGACACCTTATTTAATATGTATTGTGTGTAATACATATTGTATTATTAATAGCATGGCCAATAGCTTTTATACCTCACGCCTGAAGGAAGCTCCTCTAATGTATGTATTTTCTCCCATAAGGCACATTGCAGCCTTCTTGCACTTAGAAATACTAGAAAGCACTTCAGCACTATGCCTTGAGGGCATTTCAAATAGTTAAATCACAAAAAAAAAGCACACAGATGAGAAAAACCTGGGCAAGTACCCTGAAAAGTATGCTTGTTCACGGTAGAGGAGCTGAAACAAGAAAGCAGAACATCATCTTGTTTGACCTTAGTCCACATCAGGCAACTAAAATTTCTGATTACTCTGTGTTTGTCCACAGATAAACTTGAAGCGTTATGAGTATTGATTTGAGGTCTTATGAGTAAATTTTAGCAAGGAAGAAAAAGGAATCTACAAACAACTGACTTAAATTTTGTTTTACGAATAGTTCAAATAAAATCTATAAGTTGAAAATTAAGCCAAAAGATGTTAGTCTGAAAATACTTAAAATTGTCGTCCAGATAGTGCCAGTTACTAAATGTCTTTAGAATAATGAAAGTCCTAAAATTTTCCACTAAAAGTATTTTTAAGTAAGTAAGAATACTTTAATACAACCCGTTTCAAAGAAAACTTGGGATATCAATTCTAATGCCTTAGCTTATTTTTTATTTATTTTAAACTTTGTGTGTGTGTGGTGGGGTATAGCTGATTAGCAACATTGTGGTAGTTTCAGGTGGAAAGTGAACGGGCTTGGTCATACATATACATCTTTCTACCTAAGCCTTAGCTTCTTACCTTCAGCTTCCTGCACTGTTGAGTAGGTAAGAATACTTTAGATAATCAAGTATTTTCAGAAGTGCTCTATACTGAATTTTTAGAAATTCAGTGAGGCTTTTGGGAATTAGTTTACCACTTTAGTTATGTCTTCTTTAACTTTCTGCCATCAGTCAGCCTTATCATAGCTATCTTTATAGAGCTAGAAGGATAGCTGTTAGTGATTTTCACATCAGAGTCTTTTAAGTAGCTTTAATTATCAGTTTATCATACATGATACATTTACAAAACTCCTGAAACCTGCAACCTTCTACTTCCAATTGACAGATGGCTGCTAATCTCATGAACAGTGGTGTGAGACTGAACGCAATTTGCCCAGGCTTTGTTAATACACCCATCCTCAAATCCATTGAAAAAGAAGAAAACATGGGGAAATATATAGAATACATGGATCCTATCAAGGATATGATGAAATACTATGGAGTTTTGGAGTAAGTAAAGCTATACCTATCTTCCTTTAATATGACAAAGCAAGGGGCCATCTAGATATAAACAATCAAAAGGGAAAAAAATTAGCTTTTACATCTGAGAAACTCATGCAAGCTTCAAAGTTTTGGTTTGGCAAAATCTCTGCAAAAAACTTTTTTCTGGGTTTCTGAATAGCCTCTATTTATATATCATGAATTTTGTTTTTAGATGTAGAGAATGAATTATTAATACAATACAATTAATACAATTAAGCAATAAGGAAGTACTTTTTTAAATGGAGATGTTTAATTGTCTTTGGAAGAAGTGCCTAAATTCCAGTTACGTTCAGTTCAGTCACTCAGTCGTGTCTGACTCTTTGCGACCCCATGAATCGCAGCACGTGAGGCCTCCCTGTCCATCACCAACTCCCGGAGTTTACTCAAACTCATGCCCATCGAGTCGGTGATGCCATCCAGCCATCTCATCTTCTGTCATCCCCTTCTCCTCCTGCCCCCAATCCCTCCCAGCATCAGGGTCTTTTCCAGTGAGTCAACTCTTCGCATGAGGTGGCCAAAGTATTGGAGTTTCAGCTTCAGCATCAGTCCTTCCAATGAACACCCAGGACTGATCTCCTTTAGGATGGACTGGCTGGATCTCGTTGCAGTCCAAGGGACTCTCAAGAGTCTTCTCCAACACCACAATTCAAAAGCATAAATTTTTCGGCACTCAGCTTTCTTCACAGTCCAACTCTCACATCCATACATGACCACTGGAAAAACCATAGCCTTGACTAGACAGACCTTAGTTGGCAAAGTAATGTCTCTGCTTTTTAATATGCTATCTAGGTTGGTCATAACTTTCCTTCCAAGGAGTAAGCGTCTTTTAATTTCATGGCTGCAATCACCATCTGCAGTGATTTTGGAGCCCAAAAAAATAAAGTCTGACACTGTTTCCACTGTCTCCCCATCTATTTCCCATGAGGTGATGGGACCAGATGCCATTCATCTTTTCTGAATGTTGAGCTTTAAGCCAACTTTTTCACCTCCTCTTTCACTTTCATCAAGAGGCTTTTTAGTTCCTCTTCACTTTCTGCCCTAAGGGTGGTGTCATCTGCATATCTGAGGTTATTGGTATTTCTCCAGCTTGTGCTTCTTCCAGCCCAGTGTTTCTCATGATGTACTCTGCATATAAGTTAAATAAGCAGGGTGACAATACACAGCCTTGACATACTCCTTTTCCTATTTGGAACCAATCTGTTGTTCCATGTCCAGTTCTAACTGTTGCTTCCTGACCTGCATACAGGTTTCTCAAGCCTAAATTCCAAGAAATATTTAAATATACCCTTCATGACATTTCATGTGGCCCTCTAACTTCAACCACTTTACTAACCATGTCTGAGTTAGAGCAGTTGACATTTCACAGGATGGAGTCATCGGTATCAAATCCTGACCCCACCACCAACCACAAACTTATCCGTCAACCTCTGGGTACCTCAATTTTCTCAAATGTAGAATGGGAGTGATAGTATAACAAGCTTACAGGACTTTGGAAAGTCTACAAACAAGTTGATAAATGGAAGGTACTTAAAATAGCAGCAGATAAATAATAGATATTCAATAAATGCTGGCTACAATTCTTTCTCCTTCTAAAATTCTTTCTCTTTCTACAATTTGGCCTCCTGAGAAAATCTGTACACAGGTCAAGAAGCAACAGTTAGAACTGGACATGGAACAACAGACTGGTTCCAAATAAGGAAAGGAGTATGTTGAGGCTGTATATTGTCACTCTGCTTATTTAACTTATATGCAGGGTACATCATGCAAAATGCCAGGCTGGATGAAGCACAAACTGGAATGAAGATTCCTGGTAGAAACATCAATAACCTCAGATATGCAATGACACTAACCTTATGACAGAAAGGGAAGAAGAACTAAAGAGCCTCTTGATGAAAGTGAAAGAGGAGAATGAAAAAGTTGGCTTAAAACTCAACTTTCAGAACACTAAGATCATGGCATCCAGTCTCATCACTTCATGGTAAATTGATGGAGAAACAACGGAAACAGTGAGAGACTTTATTTTTTGGGGCTCCAAAATCACTGCAGATGGTGATTGCAGCCATGAAATTAAAAGACACTTGCTCCTTGGAAGAACTATGACCAACCTAGACAGCATATTGAAAAGCAGAGACATTACTTTTCCAACAAAGGTCCATCTAGTCAAAGTTATGGTTTTTCCAGTAGTCATATATGGATGTGAGACTTGGACTATAAAGAAAGCTGAGCGCTGAAGAATTGATGTTTTTGAACTGTGGTGTTGGAGAAGCCTCTTGAGAGTCCCCTTGGACTGCAAGGAGATCCAACCAGTCCATCCTAAAGGAAATCAGTCCTGAATATTCACTGGAAGGGCTGATGCTGAAGCTGAAACTCCAATACTTGGGCCACTTGATGTGAAGAACTGACTCATTTGAAAAGACCCTTATGCTGGGAAAGATTGAAGGCGGGAGAAGAAGGGGACGACAGAGGATGGGATGGTTGCATGGCATTACTGACTCGATGGACATGAGTTTGAGCAGGCTCTGGGAGTTGGTGATAAACAGGGAAGCCTGGCATATTGCAGTCCATGGGATGGCAAGAGTCAGACATGACTGAGTGACTAAACTGACAATTCTTTAAATTTCTACTCTAAGAACATTTCTGATAGGTCTAAACTCTGCTGATAGGCTAAAGGTGGGAAAATAATCATTTACTCAATGTAAATAATAAGGATACATTTATGAATCCTTCCTATCAAAATAACAGAAGGTTAGGTGTGGACATCTACAGCAAATTTATAATTCAGTGAATATCTCATTGAATTAAAAACTCAGGTAGCAGTGCTGCATAACATACATTTCCCTATTATTTGTTAAAGGGAATAGATACTTCAAAAATAATTCAAAGTGATGTGACAATTATGCCTTATTCTTTGATTTTAAAATATTTATTTTCCCTTTATATTTAGCCCTTCAATGATTGCCAATGGATTAATAACACTCATCGAGGATGATGCTTTGAATGGTGCTATTATGAAGATCACAACTTCTAAGGGAATTCATTTTCAAGATTATGACACAACCCCATTTCACACGAAAATGCAGTGAACATCTTATATGTCAGCTTTAACTGAAAATAAGCACAAATGGCATACTCCATCTTCTATTGAATATAGCTTTTTAAGTGAAATGTTACTGTTTTAAGCCTTCCTTTCACGCATGTGATGTTCATTTTCTCTAAATGATTAGTTAATATACAGACTTTTAAAAATGAGGAACTATCAAAAATATGACATGGACCAAAGCTAGGTTTTGATCTTTATAGTCTAAACAAGGGATATTCCAGGAATATTCTGCCTTTCAGAAGATATATTTAAATTTGTGATTCATAAATGTCAATTTCTTCAGAACTTCATTTTAAAAGAGATACTTGAATTGTTATTTAATTCAAAGCAGATGTAAAAAGCTCATTTTGTCTCTATGTTCACACTTTAAAAGAAGGAAGCTACCTACAATGGCAAATATTTAGTAACAATAACTTTTACTTATGCACCACCTTTCAGCTGACTATTTTAGCTCTTTAAGAACATGGCATATTTAGGGCCCAGTAGGTAAGGAGTAAATTACTGTATGAATATATCCCAAATGAAAAATCTGATGTATGGAAAAATGACAAAAAATAACTGACTGAGGTGTTGATCTACAGTTCACCCTTCCATCTGGTGAAAACATCTTTTCCTCTGCGCTTGCTTTAAAAATTTTGACTCCAAAAATCTCAGGAATGAAACTTAAAAAGCAATAGCAAATAAGCATAGTTAGTACTCCTAAAATGTTGTATTTAAGACACACTTGTTAAGAAAGAAATACAAATGTAATTTTTTTCAGATTCCTTCTTTATTTGTGCCAATTTCAAAAATGCCTGCTTTTCAGTAAAACTTTTTTCTTCTAATCTTCATGAGTGTTCTAATCTTCATTCAGAGTTCTATGTTTAGATGTAGAGAAGAAACCAATTTTGTGACAGCCTCAACTGAGGATGTTTTTGTGTCTTCAAAGCCATAATAGCAAGAGGTAAAAATAACTGCATTTTGTCATTTTCCCTGTCAGGTGTTTTAAGACAGGATCATTAAATGCACCTGCTTTGGATAATGCTATTTGCAAGCAATAATTAATGCTAATGATAATGACACGCAAGATTTCCAAATCAGTCATTTTCTTGTAGAAATATTGAAAAGTACCTCATTCTGCCTGCTAGCTCCTAAGCTCCCAGGTGGGAGCAAAATCCATCCATGTGAGATTAGTATGGATTTCTTAGAGATATTGGTGAATTGTCAGATATGGCTCTGTTTTAAGTCTGCCATAGAGATCTATTACCTTCACTTTTAAAGAGTGGATTGAATATGAGGAACTGTTGTCTAGATGTCCAAATATTTGAAAAACACCAAGAAGTAAACATCAGTGAAAATCTAAGAAAAGTTAAGTTGTATAATTAGGCACAAGCATGTTCATAACTTGTGCTGGTAACAAACCAGTTAGTGATGTAGGTATGAGGAATATCATTTATCTTACTCTGTCTTCCACTGTAATGCTCAAAGCTATAGCTTAAGCTTTTAATTTATGGAGAAGTCTTTGTACTGTGGCCTTCACTATACATTGTACTTTGAATTATTGTTTTTAAATCAATAAACTATGCAGACATTTAAACCCAAATACTGAGTAGAACTGAAAAAAATGTGTTCTATTTTTTACAATTATTTTTACATTAAAATGTTTCTTCTATAAACAACTTTAAATAAATCATAATGTTATATGGTGCTGTATATACTGGTTAAGAAAAATAAACATTAAATTTGCAGGGAAGAGAGTGGTGAAATCTTAAATGGAATTTTTCAGTGAAAACCTTAATGTAAATAATTTTTTTGAACAAATTTTTCTTATTATGTGAATAGGGGTCCCAAGGTATCAAAACTAAAAATGTATGGGTACTGAAAAAAGATTAAGAGATTGGATAATGACACTGAAATGTCTAACACACTTAGTTGTCCCATATGAACATAATTTTATATACTTGTGGTAACATTTAAAATAGAAGTGATTATGTGATAATTTCTAATTTTGCCCTGTGTATAAATTTAGGACACTGAAGAGGTCTGACAGTGTACATATTTAATAAAAATGTAAGTCATTTCACAAATTAAGTATCATTTGTAAATAGCTTTTTCTTGCATGTAGTTTGCAGGGTCAGCCCCTGGTGATACAGAACTGAGCAGTGTAGTGGAAAGGGATGGATTTGAGAATAAATAGGCAAATGACAGGCATGACATACATTTGATATTTTCCCTGATAGTGTCCCTGCTATAGACTTGAGCTTGTCACTTAGCACCAACTAAAGGTTGTTTTTAAGAGCCATGAATAAAGTGAAAGTGAAAGTGTTAGTCGCTCAGTCGTGTCTGACTCTTTGCAACCCTAGGTACTGTAGCCCACCAGCATCCTCTGTCCATGGAATTCTCCAGGAAAGAATACTGGAGTGGTTTGCCATGCCATCCTCCAGGGAATGCTCCGAACCCAGGGATAGAACTTGGGCCTCCTGCATTTCAGGCAGATTCTTTATCATCTGAGCCGCCAGGGAAGCCCAAAGATATCACTAACTCCATAATACTATAATGCAGTGATGTTCTAGGGCCTAGCTCCACAATAGCTAGTGACCCTGCAGTCATCTTGCATGATGTATGGACTTACTACTAATTCCTATTACTAATCCATAAAAGCATTGGTTTTCTTTATCTTATACTCAAAAAGTACTGTCTCTTCATCACTGTATAGATGCTGTGAAGGATGTGCTATGCTGTGCTTAATTGTTCAGTCATGTCAGACTCTTTGTGACCCCATGGACTGACTGCAGCCTGCCAGGCTCCTTTGTCTGTGGGGATTCTCCAGGAAAGAATATTGGAATGGGTTTCCATGCCCTCCTCCCAGGGACCTTCCCAGCCCAGGAATTGAACCCAGGTCTCCTGCATTGCAGGTGGATTCTTTACCATCTGAGCCACCAGGGAAGCCCCAAGAATACAATGATATTAAAACACATTGCCTGCCTTATTAAATCCTATCACATTTTTTGTGTGTTTAACCTCTTGGGCTTAAATTAAAAGGATAAACTGGTAAATTGCTAGATTTTGTTTGCCCTGAAGTAATTGCATGCTAGTCAGGCACCATTTTCTAAAATCTAAATGTATAAATTTAAATTTTTATTTAAATTTAAATTTTTATTTCTTTGTCCTTAAATTCATGTGTGTGTGTGATATACAGAGAGACATATAAATATATATTTGCTCCTATAGCCACAAACTAATTTTTAGAACTATGTGTCCATTGTAATTATCTAGTATGAGTAGCAGAGGATTCAGATAAACCTTGAAACTCATGATTTAACATAATAGAATTGTTTTCCTTTGGTCACACAAGAGTCCAATGCTGGAAACAAGCATGTTTCCATGAGGTGGTTTAGACTGCTTCTGCCTTGTAGCCCCACCGTATAGGACTCTGGAGTCATTCAAATACAGCCAGTTGACTAGAGAAGAAAAAATGAAGAAGGTATACCTGCTTCTTAAACATTTCAGCCTGGAAATAACAGTCATTATTTTTACTCATAGCTCATTGATGAGAGCTAGTCTAAAAGCCCTACCTGAAAGCAAAAGATGCTGGGAAATGCCGACACACACATGCCTCCCAGAAACAACTCTACACCATAGAAAGGAAGCATGAATTTTTAAGAGACAAATACATCTTTTGTCTTTGCCACATCCACTATGTCTGTAAATCCCTCACATTGAATACATTCACTCCTACTCCGGAGAAACATCCTAAAATTAAATGCAGTTACTGTACCCAACTCAAATCCAGATCTCCAGTAGCTGTACTGATCTCTCCATTAAGATTCTGTGGCTTCTCATGATCCTGGGACAATTTATCTGACCTGTGCACACACTCATGAGCAGAGAGAAAATCTACAGTCAACTCTCTCATTTAGAAAAGGGAAGAATGGGATCACTGGTCAATAGCCACAATACAACCCTGCAAGTAGGCACTATGAAATCTCTGCCCCAAAGTGGGGAACTTCCTTGACTTCACTTCAGTCTTCAATTTGAGAATAACACTTTTTTTTTAATTTTAAATTTTGTATTTGGACAGAGCTGATTAACAATCCTGTGATAGGATCCTGTGATAGGATCGAAGGGACTCAGCTGTCCCTTCGATGGACAATGGATAAATATGCATTTATCCATTCTTCTCCAAACTCCCCTCGCATCCAGGCTGCCACATAACATTGAGTAGAGTTCTATGTGCTGTACAGTAGGTCCTTGTTGGTTATCCATTTTAACTATAGCAGTGTGTAGATGACCATCTCAAACTCCCTAACTATCCATTCCCCCCATCCTCCCCCTACCCCAAAACCACAAGTCAATTCATAATTAAATGATTTTATCATTGTGCTGGAAAAGGGGGAGGGGGAGGTGGACTCTAGCTTTGCCCTAAGGGGAGTTCTTTTTACTGTATTATCCTCCATGGTTTGTTTGTTTTTTGGTTTCTTGGTTTTTCTTTTTTTGGTACCAGATCTTCTAGGAAGTGGTATAGTTTTCACACATGCTATCCCATCAATGCAAGTTGAAGTTAAAGGTTGAAAAGTTAAAGGTTGAAAAGTCTGGCTTGTGATTTGTTTAGCTGAGCAATTTGAAAAAAATGTGTAGGCTTCTGATTATTTGCTTCCAGTTGATTTCAATTGCATGAAAAATGCCAAAATATCTTCAATATTCATAATTAATTATCATAATTCTCCAGCCTGATAAATTTTTTTCTCCCCATTCCTTCTCTTCTTTCAATGTAAGTGCAGCTACACTGAGGTAAGCCAGCTTGGAGGGAACTCAACACTTATACTTTGTGGCAGAACTCTGCATTAATGGATCTTTAATGCAGAAAACATTTCTGAATCGGACCTTTTCATTTTCGGAGACTAAAACTAGTTGAGTTTTCAACCCAAAAGGTTGCAAATTTCTGGATTCTCTCTTCTCCTTTTATTTTCATTTTTACCACAAACTAGCCTAAACCAGCCTGAACTTACCTCCTAGTTCTCTTCCTTGCTAAGTGTAACCAGAAAGCACCAAAAATTCCGTCTTCCAACCTCTTGGTCTAGAAATTGGCCTGAGGAGTCAGGGAAGACAAAATACTTGTCAGATGCTTTATCTTTGCTTAACAGGGTTTTCCAGTTTTGTAGTCTAAGTATCTACCTACTAGGGGCTTCCCAGTAGTCCAGTGGTAATGAATCCCCTTGCCAGTGCACGAGACACAGGAGACACGGGTTCAATCCCTGGGACAGAGGAGCCTGGCAGGCTACCATCCATGGGGTCACAGAGAGTTGGACATAGCTGAGCACAGCAGCACCATCTGCTTGCTAAGTCAGTGACACAGGTTTCAGGTTTGTTTGCTTATTGTTGTTGTTGTGCTTGGCAGCTCTACTTCTGCTACCGAGTGAATTAGCTAAGGTAGTGTTCAGAGCTATAAGGGATAAATCCCCAAACTTCAGGGGCTTGATAAGATAGAGTTCCTCTCAGACAGAAGGATTTAATACAGCTGTGGAGTGGGCAGCCTTCCAAGGGGCTGAGTCAAGGATTCAGCTTCCTGCCATCCTGCACATCCAGCATCTTTGGGAGCCTCAGAGTTTACTCATGGAGTAGCCAGATGCCCTTGCTTCTTATCCACTCTAATCCACAAACCATTTGAAGACTTGCTCAGATACCCCCCTCCAGATACAAGAGGTGGGGGTGCAGTGTTGAGAAGTGTAACCCTAGCCAGAGAACCCACTTTCCAGCAAAACACTACTCCCTGGAAAGGGGGTATAAATCTTTGGTAAAGAGCTAGCCATCTCTGCCATACTGCTCTGAGTTTTAAGTTAAATATATGATGTATGGCTTCCAGGTTGGTGAACACATGCAGATGTGAAGAGAAGGCTGGAGAACTCACGATAGCTGTGCACCATTTTCTCTTTCCTTGTCCTATGCATTGCTCCATCTGGCTGTTCCTGAGTTATATCTTTTTATAATAAACCAATTCTCTTAAGTGAATAAATATACAAGTTTAAATCACTCCAAAGAATGTACTTTTGCATATTTTAAATATTGGCATTTAAAAACATCCAGTGGGAAAAATTAGCACCATGACCACTTTATACATATCATCTGCTCTAAGATTCAAGAATATTTTTGGAAATATTAGAATTTTTATGTTTTTTTTATTGTTTAGCTCATACTCATATCTTCTATAGCATTTTATCCTAAAGAATGCTTTCCTGTGAATTATTACATAATCATCACTCTTTGCAATAAGTATAAATACACACACACAAGTTAAATATTAAGTTTTGCTTTGCATATAAGACTCTAGATGGTAAAAAATTTCCTTTGGATTTGGTAACATTAAAATTATTAATAACAAGTATATTAAATTTGTATAAGTAATTATTCTTAAAAGCACAATGCATCATTATTAATATATATAATCTTTTTAAAATATTAAAAATCCAAGTCCACTTTCAAAAAATACAATACAGTAGAAATGTATATGGAAATTGAGATTTCCCCCCAAATTATTCATGTATTCAAGAATAGATATAAATTGTACTTGTTGATAAAATAAGTATCAGTATCAAATCTATTCCTATTATAACT